ATATAAATGTCAAATTTTACGGCGAACACCCAAAATTTCCGGGGATTCTTTTCTGTGTGCGCTTTTGAAATCTTAGGAATTTCCGTTTATTTCGTTCAATCAACTGTTGAGTCACACTTCTAGCATTTTCTTGATCATTTGTACAGCATCAAAATAGGAAATATTTCGGGTAGTTTTATCAAAAAATGATTTCATTTTGTCGACCAAACAACAAACAAATTCGAACAAAGAACGAAAATAATTTCCAAGCAATTTATTTGTTCACGATTGAGGTGACTCATAAAGTGAGCCATTAAAAATAAACACTTATTTATATATTTTATTTTGAAAGGGAATAATTTATTTCGTCAATTTTTCTGTGCACACTCTTCTTCATAGCTCAACAACTGCTTGATGCCCAAGTGGTTCAACCGTGGAGATGCGCTCACTTATACGGAGAAGCGCGGAGTTGTGCGGAGATAGACGAAAACAGTGTATAAGAACCTGTGTACCGCACTTTCCCGCATAAGTTAGCGTATCTTCACAGTTGAACCACTTGGGTACACTATTAGTGCAAAAGACAAAAATATAGAGGACACTTGGACCAATAAAAATGTTTTTTTGTTGTTGAAAGCAATGTGATCCATCGTACGGTTTACGTTGTGCAGGTATTCAAATGTTGCCCGCCCAAAATCGGTTGTATGCACTAGGGGGTTAAGTTATATGGAATATATTATTTTTTTCGTCTAAAATATTTTAGATATGTAAATGCTAAGATTAAGTCATAGATATTACATCATTTTTGTTGCACTATTACTACAGTCAGTTATATATCAAAAATAAAAACGCATACTAGTTTAATTCCTAGTCAAGTTAATTTATTCTTTTATTTGTTTTCTCCTTCTTTTTTTCTTTTTTGCAAAGATGTCCATCCTTAAGTGTTGTAACAGATATTATCAAAAATATATTATCAAGAAAATGGCCGGCAAAAAGAGTGTAAACAAAAGATGTCTTGATCATTGTTGTCTTGAAAAAGCCGCAGTCATCCGGGGACTGAAAGAGAAATAAGATTCATTTAGAGATTTTCTTCCTGTTTGTCGAAAAAATTTAAGAAATCGTGTATGTTGTGTGGTGAGTGGGTCAATGCTTCAACTGAAAACGCATCCACAGAGTTTGTTCTAGTATTTTCTTTTTACAGATTCAACTTTTCAAATTTAGTTCGCCATATCATTGATCTAGAATCTCCAGAAATCAATTGTTTGACGACATCTTTGAATGGTTGAAAATGCAAATAGACTAAAAAGACCTCTTTGAATGTAAGGTCAGTTGGATTGTAATCAAAAGACGAACCTCTTCTTCTTTTTTTGGCCAAGCGTACATTATGACATGAGAATGCTGGGGAACAATAAAAAAACTGATGAAACATTAGTTGTCCAGAATATTATGCTGACTTTAACGATCCGTCCTTAGAAGCGGGACTTAAATCCATCGAATGCGATAAAGGCACTTTAAAAAGTTTGTACGCAAATGCGAATCTTATACTGTTCTGTTTTGATTTTCTAAAGCTCATTCGATTTTTTACGTACGAATCGCACGGTGCGATGAATTCAAGTTCCCTTATTTCCAATAAACATATTTAATTTCCACTTTTGGAATCAGTTCGCTAAAATCAGCATCTTATTCAAAACGGTTCAATTCAACAACAATTGATAGGTACTATTTAAAAAACATAAAAAATAACAATATCAGGCATCGTAAATGTGAATATTGTTCGTAATTTCGAATTAAATAATGATAATGCAATGAACAATTAAAACCATGTCCCTACTTGGTCGTAAATTTATCCTTTGTATCCGTATTATTAAAATTTATGATGAAAAACCAGAGAATATTAGCATGAACTTCAAGTTTGACTGTGTTTTTGAGCAAAAATTGACAATTGACTCTCCGATATTTATCCCTCGTATAAAAATAAATGACAAAATTTCGATATAACTGGAAATTTTTCATATTCATGGCACCAATAAGAACAGAAATAAAGTTCAACGTCAATTTACAGCTCCATAAGTAATAATTATGCTGGAAATTTTGGTATTTTGACCAAAAAAATTTATCACTGGAATAAATTTATACCGAGGAACGTAAATAGACTGTTAAAAGATAGTAAAATAACAGTGAACAGTTGGAAATTAATAAAATATTTTTGAAAAACATGCAGGTAATGTATCAGATCCTCTTCGTGAAATATGCCTCTTTGTGGGAAGGGATAAGAACACTTTAAGCCATTTTATTGGAAAAAAGCTAGTCGGGGAGAAGGGCTAGTAATGAACACACTGGACCAGTTTTTATTGAATTAAATTGTATGCTATTATTTATTGGTTTCATTTGTTAAAACGAACAATGGGGTTACATATTTCAATTTGTGTATGCATGAGATACCCCCTATCGATCTAAAGAATAGTATAATTAAAATATATATCGACAAAAAAGAATCTAAAATTGGATCAAAATCATTGTACAATAAATATATGTCTAAAAATTTGTCAAATCTAAAAACTAAGCAAATCGAATAGTAGAATTGTTAAAATAAAATCTTATCTCTAAAGATCTAAACTATGAATTGTCCATATTTTTTTCTCTTCATTTTCTCAATGTTTTACAATTTCTCATCTCTAGTCTGAATTAAAAATCTAAACAAATCCGGTTTGTCCGACTGTGAATCATCTTCAATGTCCATGTCGCTAACGTTCCATTTGAGCTAGTGATGCGAATGAAATTCAAAGGTAATTTTGATGATTTTTCATTTATTTTCCAACATTTACTTCAGAAATATTTTTTTTATGTCAATTTCTCATTTTCTCGAAGAAAAAAAAAGCTAATGTATTAGCTTTTATTGCTGTCGATGGGTGAGAAAATCAAGCGAATCCTTTGAATGAACTAAATCACGATTTTATTTTAAATTTTTGAAGAAAAAATCGACTCAATTTGAATGCCTAACTAAATTAATGAAAATTCTATCAATTTGTTGTTCATTTCCATATTGCGGAAAAAAAATATTGACTAAAAATTGTCACTGTCTTTCTTTTGTCTTTCCTTTGCCTCTCATTTTTTGTTTGTGTGGCGTTTTGTAGTCATTGTCGTTCGCTTTTATTTCTTATACCTAACTATTGTACAACCGTTGTTGCGATCTGTGTCTAGATTTAGTGAGTAGATCTAAGACCTGCGCCTATAAAATGGGATTGATTTGTGCACTTGTTCTGTTTTGTACTTGATTCGACAAAAGAGCACCATTGGTTTGGTTTTTTGGAACGAAAATTGAACACGAATCAAGCGGCTTAGAAGCAAATTGGGCATTGGTTGGTTGAGACAACAAATATTCATCAATCGAATTTGTTTTTGGTTCTCATAGTTTCATTAGAATGCCTCCCAGAAAAAAAAACAAAAACAATTAATTGTTTGAAGTAAAGAAGGGGCTTTCACAAGGCAACAAATCGCATGGTTTTTTAAACAAATATAAAGAATTACATTGGTAATCCCGAACTTTTCCGTACCGTTGGCCTGCGTTGTCCGTAGGTACTTTTGGTTATTTTCTGTGAATTTTCTTGAAATAAAGGCAGTGAAAATATAATAATTATTTTGAATTATTTTCATTAATGAAAATAAAGTGGAAAATCGGTCACTTTAACTAAAACTTCGACAAAATTGTATGAGAGGTACCCGTAAACCGATTCTTATTGGATTTAAACTTCCTGAGGTTTTATTTTTTGGAGAAAAATAAGATTCTGAAAGTTTCATGTTGATCGCATTTGCAGAAGTTTGGTTTTTGGCCCCCAATTTTTTCCAAGAAAATGTCGACAAAAAATCAAACTTCTGCAAATGTGATCAACATGAAACTTTCAGAATCTTATTTTTTCTCCAAAAAATAAAACCTCAGAAAGTTTGAAGCCAATCGGAGTCGATTTACAGGTACCTCCCATACAAAAGTGTCAATTTTTTGAGGTTTTTCTTAGGGCAAGTACCCCAGGATCAAATCGAAAATGGCTCATCTTCGAACTTAAACTAAGTTTATTGGATACAAAACTTTTGGCATTTCCAGATTTTAATTATCTCAATTATTTTTTATCACTAACGACGACGACAACGACGACAACGACGACAACGACGACAACGACGACGGCACACGAACGGAAAAGTGTCTCAAAAAGTGGTTTTCTACGCGTTTCATGAGTTTTTATGATGATCTAAACCAATTTTGCGAAAAAAGTTTTCTGGACCAATTCCTATACTTTCCCTTGACACGTTGTGTACGGAAAAGTAAAAATACGATTTATTCACATGTGGAGCAAGTCCAACCTAAATAATTGTTTCTCTGTCCATTTTTCTTTGTCAATTTTTACCACTTCATTGGAAGAATCGATGAATTTATGAGGATTTTCAAAACAAATTTATACATTTTCTCGTCTTTTTCGGGGAATTCGATCGATTTACGGTCTTTTTCTAAAATTTTGATCAATCTATTTTATTTTGATCAGATTTCTGATCTATTCAAAAAAAAAATTCATCCATTCCTGGTCTTTTTTCAACAATTATTGACTAAATAGTCAATATTGCAATTGGGCTCTACTTCAAATCGATAGGAACTATTAGGAAGTCGGCAAATAATAAGAAAATCAAAATGATTGCTTTGTTTGTTAATGTTTCGGGTGTTCCTAGTCTCGTGTCTCATATCTAGACATATCAACCGTCACGCAAGGCACATTTTGGTGCGTTTCTATTCATTTCAATTGTTTTCATCTCTGGCAGCTTTTTGTTCTAATTTTTTTTTATTTCGAATAGCATCGTCATCAAAACAATTGCTATTTCATCACATTCGGCAGAAGTTTCAGTCTGCAATTAATTTCCTAACTACAAATTTGCGATCCACACAAAATTGATTCACATCGACCGTGTGTGACGGAGCTTTGTGTCGTAAATTTGATTTTAAAATTTCACTTCATCTGGTATAAAAAACCATGAGAACATTTCTTTTTTCCCTATTTTTTTGCTTAAGCAAACAAAAAAAAACTTCATTTTGAACTATAAAAATAAAGATTTCTTTTCCATGTCTCTTCAAATATATCACGTTTTTTGCTATTGATAAAGAATCCCCTTGTGTTTTATCTCCATGTCCACCTATTAAAAAAAAGCCCATTTACATTGAGTCACCTTGAGCTGAAATTTGAAACGATAACAGAAGTCACAACGATAATTCCTGTAAATATTACTGGATTTGATCGTTGGGGGATCGTCTCCAATCGTTCTCCACTGACAAACGATGGAAGACTTTGAGTGTGTGAGGGGGGCCTCCACATTGTGGAGGGAATGGCTAGTGAATATGAAACGATGATGGGAAAACGATTGGAATCGATCCAAACTCCGGCTATTTGTTGAGAAACCATGTCCAGCGTGGCATTTTTTCATAAATATCCTAAAACCTAAGCAAAATTCTGGATCCGGAGCTTAAAAACACAGAGCGATATTCTAAATCAAAATCACGTTGAAGAAAAATAACGGAAACAAACATCTAGAGAAAAGCACATGCCAATTGAAACAAAACCATCGAAATGAACACTCACAAATTTAAAATCATGGTCGAAACATTCTCGAGGGATGTGAAACTTTAAAATCATTTTTCATTTCTTATTATTCACTTAGTGCTTATAAATGCTTGATTTTTTTTCGGGATTCTGCAGAACTAATTCAGCTGCAGCTATGCACCACACGATTCAATGCAGCAATTTCAATTTTTAATCACATAAAACATTTCACGTTGCAATAGACAAAAAGATTCATGAGCAAATAACAAATTTCTCAGAAGAAAAAAAATACACTCCTTCTCTCTCTTTGTACATGTCAACATAAACATACAAACAATTCATTTCTCTTATTAATTTTAGTTAGCATTCAAATGTCACAATTTTTATACCTATTTTGTTTGTTCCTTTTTTCACTCGGTTAAAACAATTTCTTGTAAATAAATTAACTAATTCTAGTCTAGCTACTACAAAAAAACATTCGCAATCAAGGATTGGGACAAAAACTCTCCACAATTTTAGATTCAATCATTTGTTGTTTTCAATAATGAACATGTCAATGGGGATGGAGTTTGTGCCGTTGTGTCTCTTCTTTTATTTCTATGTACATGTGTGATTTTTGTTCAATGGTGTCACCGAATTTGAAATTGAACGAGGTGTTTTTGGAAGAACCTGTAACGAGAGAATATTTCAATGGAATTAGTTTCAAATGGAAAGAATTTTTAATTTTTCTTTCTGATTTCATGTAAGACTATATAATTTCAACTAAATTTTATAAGGTCTCCATTGCCGGGGATTGGAATAATCGAAAATTTCATCTAGTGGCATTTTTACCCACATTTTCGCCTGCACTGCAGAATATGTTTTGTAGATGGATTATTTTTGTTCATTCGATCACTTACCTCACCCAAAGACATGAGTAGCAATTGTGGCCACTATAGCAACCGCTGTCGTTACACCCACCGTCCATCGATTCAATTTGAAAGTTGTAGCAGCTTTGTTTGTTGTTGAAGTCGTATTGTTGGTTGCGGGATCTTTTTCTTCTGGAATATGGAATAAATTTCGTACATTAGACTTTCTGTTGAGTTTTTTTTTTCTTTCGATGGTTTGAAAAACTTTCGATTTCTAGACTCATGGTTAATAAACTAATTTCTGTATTGTATTGTATTGTTTTGTTATTTCTGTCAAATGAACTATTTTCGCTACATTTCAAAACGAACTATTTTCGCTACATTTTCTATGTAATTTTTATTGTAGTTTCATTTCATTGTCAGTGGATAATAAACGCGTTTTACGTGTATTGAATTTTGTCTTTTTGAATTTTTGTATGGAAAGTCTGATCGAATGTCCGGTTTTTTTTTCGAACATGAAGAAATTAATGGAATGAAATACATTTTCTGTACTCGCAATCGAATGAAATAATAATCAGTTCGGCACAATGTACAACCCGAAGCATATTCAATAATGTTCCAAATTTCAACTTATAATTATGAAATCAACAAACAAACATTGAAAATTCAAAATTTTGTTGTTCCCAGTTGTTTTTAAAAAAAAATTTAATTTTGTTCCAAAAATTAATGAAATATTTTCATTGAAGATACAATTTCATTTGATTTTTTTTTAATAAAATGAAATTTTGTATTTAATTTTTGTCAAATCACATACAGAAAATTCTCAAAAAATGTTCAAAAAATTAGTCAAAAACAGAAAAAAATCATTTTTTCTTCACAAAAAAACCAACTTCAATTAAGAAGAGCCAATTTCAATTTTTTGTAAATCCCTCTAAATGTGTCCATTCTTTTTTGGTTCAATAAAAATGCCAATTTTGACCGTCCAGTAATTTCATTTAAATCGAACGATGAATCATAAAAATTGAGTAAAAAAAAACAGCGAATTCGGTTTATTGTTTCGGTTGCAAATTTCCGGCATGCAATGAGTGCATTTTCTTATCGTTATGCAATTAATTTTGAATTAGCATTGTCGTTCTGGTGAATCACTTGTACAATAAAACGTTTTGTAAATTTATTGCGGTCAATCATACGTGTGATATTGCGCTTCTGATCAATTGTCTGCTCCCGACAATCGACTCACTGGGTTTTTGAACAATAAGAAATCAGCGCAACTGATTGCAATCAGTGTCAACGAGACAAAAATCAAACAAATTGCGGGGAAAAACGAATTAATGGAACACTGTTTTGTGTATTTGTTTGTAGGGATTGTAACATTGAACTTGAGCGCTTTGGGCTAGCGCCAATCGACCAGGAAACATGATAATAATCGCAAAATGTGCATCTTGAATGATGAATACACATGTGCATACTGTACATTGTGATTTGTTTTTCCATTGAAATTGATTTTTGTTGAGGTAATTGCGGAAAGACTCTGTCATCCCTAATCACATCATTAATTTCACTTCTTTTGTACAATCGGTCAATTGTTCTCTGACATACAGGAAATTCCAGACAGTTTTTTGTCGTTGCACATGAAGAACAAAAAATAGAATGTCCAATTCAGTTGAAACACATTTTTGATTTGAATATTCACATTTCATTCATTTTGATTGAGAAAAAAACTCTCTCTGTAGTTTCGACAACCTTGCAATTTGCAACCGCTCAACAAACAACACAAACAAAAGACAAAAATTAGACACAAATATTAATAAGTTTCAACGCTTTTAGGGGATTTTTTTTCCAGAATTTAAAAATTTTGTTGAATTAACAGTGTGACGAAAAAATTGAGAAGATGTTTTTATCTGAAAATACTTCAACGCACCACATGGTGTGGATAAGTTAAATTCAGAATTGTCATTGTCGATCTCAGAATAAAATTCCGAGAAAAATGGCGAAAGAAAAATCGACAAGATGAAAATTGCCAATAGTCGAAAATTATTCGTTGCAGAATTTTGTAATTTTTCAAAGAGACATTTTTATTCAATACACGTAAACTGCCGGACAATTGAGTAACAAGACAAACGAACAATCCAAACAAGACATTTTCCCTGAACATTTCATCAAATTTCTAGATTTCTGTAATTTTCATTCCAAACCAAACTATTTTTGATCATAAATTTCCATTAAGAAAAATTTCGATTGAAAAATCTGCAGTAATCTACAAATTTGGTTGCAAGCCCATTTCTGTTATTTTGATCAATCAAGGAACAATGAAAAATTTTGCTTTATTGTTATTTCAAATTGAAATGTATATGTTTGCCCCATTGTCAAAGAAATTAAAGCCAATCCAAATTAAGCGTAAATTTTTGCTTTGATTTCTTGTCAATAAATCATTCTAACTTGATACCACACTACAAACAAGAGCAAACCAAACTAAAAAAAAACAACAAAACAAACTGATTTTCAATGAGCAATTAATTCATTTTTGGTAAATTTTATAACAATACAATGAGATATAAATAAGTAAATATAATTTGGACATTGAAATAATAACAAAACACTAAAAGCTATGAATAAATAGACAAAATGCATGTTTACCCAGGGCCACGAAATTCATATGTGTCTAAATCGAGCACGTACACATGTTTTTAGATGATGGGACATAACAATGATGATGGTGATAGTTGACAATTGGGACATATTATTTTTTTGTATTTTTTTCTTTCGGTTTTGAAAATTATCCGGACGCATATCCGAAATGGAGAAAATTTGATGTTGTACATGTTGTATAGGGCTGTGTGTCTGTATGTATTTAAGCAATTTGTTCGGATAGACTTTATTCAAAAGAAATGGTTTTAGTTCATATTTTGAGGCATGTCGGAGATGAGATTCAAATAGTTCACGGAATGGCGTTTGTTTTATCGCATGTTAAATGTGTTTCTGAACCTGTTGATTTCAGATCGCGACCATATTCAGCTAGGAACTGCATAATGACACCGTTTGACCATCCAAAACCCAATTGGATTTCATATTCACCGCCGCCGCCGTAACCACCGAGCTCTTCAGCCGAGTACTATGTGAGGGATAGATGAAAAAACATGCATTTGTTGGTTAGATGTTGAAAATTGTCTCTAGGATTTTCTTCGTTAAATGAGCTTTTTTATTTCTAAAAGAGGGCCTCTTCGAGAGACACAATAAAAATGAAAAATAAATCAAAGACATAAATTCGCCCATACCTTTTCAAACATAGCCCGTGTTTGTTTGTATGCAATGAAATTGGATCGAACCCATCGCGATGCCCAATCGAATGATTTTTGGCAAGCCTCTTGTGTTTCGAGTGCGCGCAAACCTTCGACCAACAAGTACTGCATTGGTGGCCATACATTTGGATAGTCCCATTGTTCACCGGACTGGAGCAATGTGTTTGGTACACCGCCCGGGAACAAATCAATACCAGTATCATTGATGTATTTGAGTACTTTCTTCGAAAGCAACTCCTTTTCAGCGGTGTTGAATGCACCGGTCCACAATGGTGCCAAATTGGTTGGCACAAAGTATTGACGAGGCTTTTGATTGATCAAATCGTAATCGAACCATATTCCAGCCTCTTCATTCCACAGAACAGCTTGAATGGCCTGAAAAAAAAACATTAAAAAATCATTTTTATAACTCTGAAAATAGATCAATGACGAATCGTCAATCAAAAAAGAAAATATCCCGGGCCGCTACTTACATCATACATTTCTGTGGCGAGTTGTTCAAATTCGGCTGCTTTCTTTGGATTGCCAGCAATCATATGGAAATCGGAGATGATACGTGCATTCCAGTACAAGAATGCATTGAGCTCAACGGGAACAATTGAACGGCATTTAATATCCTTTAGTTCGCCTTCGTTTGTACCATTTTTAATGAACCAACGGCTCGAGAAGTCCATTCCACTCTCGGCGCCAGCTTTCAATTCCGACCACATGTCTTCCTTTTCTTTCTCGGTTTCGAGATATTGAGCGGTCAAAATATCTTCAAGATAAGATTCGGGACGGGGGCCAGTCGATTTATCACCATAAACGGCCAATGCATGACCCTTCACTTCAACCATGTGATTGTTGTAGAAGAAGTAGAATTCACGCTCCAAAATTGGTACGGCCATTTTCATGAATTCAATATCTTTTGTCTTGTCAACATAGGCCTTGATCATAGCTGCCAAAAGTGGTGGCTGTGAACGTTCGGAGTAATAGATACGACCACCATTTGGAATGAATCCAAAACGATTGATAATCGAGAGGAAATTTTCCAACATTCCCTTGGCTGTGTGGTGCATTTCTGATTGCAACAATCCCTGAATGATCCAAAATGAATCCCAGTAGTAGAACTCACGGAACCGTCCACCTGGCACAATCACCGGATTCTTCACATGGATGATCGAGTAGAGATCAGGATTTTTCTGGAATTAAAAAAAAGAAATAATGGAGTTTAAACATTTGGTTGGTATTTGAAATTGGAAAAGAAGCTTTTTCTACGAATTTTCCACTTTTCGTTTTCTTTTCTTCAAAATAAAAATTACGATGACCAAATTTGGCCATGAAATGCTTTGAAAATGCTTTTCTTTTCTTCAAATTTCGTTGAAAAATTCAAATTTTCGTTGGAAAAATTCAAATTTTCGTTGGAAAATTTCAAATTTTCATCAAAATTTTGCATTTCCGTCACACTTACCGCCACATCTTCAGTCATTTGACGTCCTAATTGTTTCCAGAATGCATTCAAATCGGATGCCCATTGTCTGTAGTCGGGATCTTTGATGGTTTCCAAGAAACTTGGACTTTCTTTCCAATCTTCTGGTACCCAGTCGACGAATTCGGCGCCTGGTTGCTCGAAAAAGTCCTATTTTCAGTGTGTCAAAAGATCAAATTGATAAGAATTCGGCATCAAACGATCAGATTTTCAATATTTGGGTGAAAATTTAACTTACATTAACAAATTGTCGAATGTCTTCTTTGGTTGGTTTATTGTCATGTTTTTCCATGAATTCCCTGAACGAGTCCATTGTACTCTGTGGCGATACCTTCATTTTCATGTCGACAAACGTTTTGGAGTCATTGTAGAGCTTGGCCATTTGCACGGTATGCAACAGATCGCCTCGACAATACACCTCACTGCAAAGAAAAATTGCATTCAGATTAAAACGTCAGATCATCAATAACCGAAATGGGAATAAGTTGGTGACTTTTTTTCTCGTAAAATCGATTTGATGAGTTCACAATTTTTGTGCTATAGTTCAGTGATTCATAGTGTTAGAAACATGATATTCGATCAATGGATGGAAATGGATTTTCTAACACAGCGCAATTTCTACCTCTCTTGATTCTCCCGAGAGAAAGAGAGAGAGAAAGAGAGAGACGAACGTCTTACCTGGTACAGTGAGCTGGTTCAAATGTCGAATATTCATTATTATTATTATGACGTGATTCGATTGCAAAACTATGTACTAAACTACAACAACAGCTAAATAATGCTATGGCCACTGATACACTTAACGAATTTAACATCTTATTTCAAATTTGTCGGATTATTTGGGTTTTCAAAATTGGATTCGGCTATTTCGATATGGTTATCACTATTTTATTGTCAACGTTTTGAGACTATTTTGAAGCATTGAAGGCGATCTTATTGATGCAAAGCACTGGATTCTGAAAAATGTGTTATATTTAGAATTTTTGTCGGGTAGTTTGAACGAAGCTCCGATTCCATGGATTTTTCTTGAATGAGTCAATAGTCCATTTCAGTTGTCTTTGTATTGGATTATTGGTATTCGTCTTTGTATGGTCAATAGTCTGAATAAATTCTTCACTTATCAGTTAGATGTTTCTGCAGTCGTCAGTCAATCAGTGGGAGCGGTAAATCAGTTGGAGTGAAGGTAGAATTTTAGAAGGTAGGTCAATCTTTTCTCTTCATTGTGACATTTAAATTAAACAACATGTAATTGCTACATTTTCCCTGCGAAAGCCAATAAACTTACAACTATTACCAACACTGTACGACGACAAAAGTCTTCTTCTGTGCCCTTTAGAAATTCCGTATCCCCATGAAATTGCAATCACGATTATCATAATGGATAAATATGTGATTTGTGAAATTAAACTAACAATTAACTAAACTCTCATGCATTGAAAAATGCTAACTATAAAATCAGGTCAAATTCGGTTCATTTTTGGAGTTTATCAAACCAATCTTTGTCAGAGTACAAAAAATTCAACCGAAAATCTCATTTCAACACGTTAAGCTCTTTGACAATGGCACAATTGCAATATTGCAATTCGGGTCGGTGCAATATTGCAATTCCAATTTAAGAAAAGTGACCAATTTTCAGTATCCATCGAAGAGCTCCTGAAAAATAACAATCGACTAATGACAACCAATTTGTAATTCATCAGCAATGGTGTACCCTACAGTCATGTTGTCCATCGCTATAATTCAAATAAACCTAAATTTGAATTTAAAATCCCTTGACAACACTATCTTTTGGTTTCAGAAAAAATACAAAATTTGATTTGATTGAACAAAATCAAAATTTCGTTGAACCGAACAAGTTTCAAATGGAACATGAATGTGGGAACAGAGAAAACCCCCTTCGATGTTAAAGTTTTCTTTCAAAAGATATCAATTAAAACTATCACACCAGATGAAAACTTAATGAACTGCCTATAAGCCCCAAATAAACCAATCAGCCTTCATTTTTCGAATCAAAATGGAATGAGGGAAATTCGAACTATTTAGCGTGCCATGAAAAAAAGTTCGTTGTAGGGTACACATGTAAACCCGAGTAGCAAATTTCCCCTTTTCCTCGGTTGCCAATGGGTTACTATAACTTAAATACAACTCCAAAGATGTTGCAAGCCGATCTTTGTAACGTTACAATAACCGTATTTTGAGCTGTTTAGCCGCGAGGCGGGGCTTATTTGTAACAAATTGGTTATAATTCGGTTATAATTCGATTTTAGCTATGTTTTTATATCGTTGCAATAGCCATGCTCATAAATCGCATACTGTCATATAACCAAAATATAATTTTTTTATAACCAAAGAAAGTTTCAATAAAGTTACTATCGAGTTTCAATTTGAATGTTCATTCTTCAATTCATTCCTTTCAACAGCATCATCATTTATCTCTATCTTTGCCAAATTCAACTTCAATATTTAATCGCTGGGCAATTACATATATGAGGCTGTGAGAATGAAAATGGCAATACAGGAATAAAAATTCTGAAGCGCATCAAGAAAAAAAAATTCGCAAAAGTGAATCATGAGTTCTGAATACGCGAAAAGTGAACCATGAACCTCCTATGCTGCCCATGTAAATTCATGTTTCACTTTTGCATATTCAGAACTCATGATTCATTTTTGCGATTTTTTTTCTTGATGCGTTTCAGAATGTTTATTCCTGTATTGCCATTTTCATTCTCACAGCCTCATATATGTGTGAGAATGAAAATATTTTGCCGATTTTGAACATTTTCAAAATCGAAATTTTACAACGAATGACATTTTGTCGTCAATAGTGGCCACGATAGGCTCTTACAATTCACGCGCCCTTCTAAAAATGCAATTTTGAGAAAAAATGTGCAGAATATTTTTTCTTCAATTTTTTTAATTTTTTCGTTTAACTATCTCAATCCATTTCAAATACGAATAATATAATGTCAAAATTATAAAAATTAGCTAAAACGCAATGTTAAAAATGCATAAATATATGCTAAATTCGATTTTATCTAGACTTTCATCTAGACTTTCATCATATAAAAACACGTTGCAAAAACATTTCGGCAACATATTTACAACTTGTGTTATTCAAGTTGCATTTCAGTTTTTGAAATATTGTATAAACGTAATTAGGGTAGCAAAGAGTAACAAATAAAATTCTATTTTGCGTTTAAATGTCAAACAATATTTTGGATGCCAGCATATTTTTGAACAATTCCCTACGTTTTTTTCTATAATTTCCATTCTTTTTGATTTTATCCCACGACAGTTTTAATGAAATTAGTCTGTTTTTGTTTTGTTTTCCATGATTTTATTTTATTGCCACAGAACTTTGATTAGGCGATGTATTCCTTACGGAAAGAATTCTAATGACAGTCAAATTTTATTTATTGATGCAACATATCTACATTCAATATGTTCAGTTGAAGTAACCTTACTTTAACCTCTATATAACATGAATGTAACATAATTATAACTTGAATTACGTTATTGTAACAAGAAAGATAGTAATGAAGTAGTTTCAACACAAGTTAATTTTTTGTGATTTCTCTGTTTTTATTGTAATGATTGGTTTTGGATTAGATGAAATCCACCAACGCAAAATGTTTAACGTTCTCAACGTTTTCGAAACTCATTAGCTTGGCAAATTCTTCAACAGGAATTGCATTCTTGGACCAAATGTATGAATATTCGACAAGGTGAAATGCACTGACGTATCATGGTTACGTATGTAACCAAATCGTAGTTGCAGCAACGTTACAATAAAGTTTTGAGATTATGAGTTATCTGGCAACCAGTTGGTAAATTTGTTAAACTATTTCTCCTTTTCTGCAACTTAAAAATAACTTTTCTATAACTTATATATAACAAAGCGGATGTCTTGTTGCCTAAAAACCACATTGCAACTGTTCTATAACATATTTTGTTGCGAATAACTGAATTGAAACCGATTTATAACAAATTTTGGTTACAAGCCTGAGATTTTTGCTACTCGGGAAGTTTCACCAAATGTTTAGCACAAAGACTGAATATGAATTTTCAATCGATTTTTTTAAACATAAAAGCTTTGGAAAAATCAGAAACGCGTGTTAGATTTTACTTTGTTTTCTGATTTTAGATCCATTTTCCGTTACTTACAAATTAGTTGCTTCAATTTTAAGATCACTTATTGGTAGAGTTGTTTCATCGGCACTAATATCGGAGAAATGATAAGAAACGAATGCAAAATTTTGATTAAAATTTAATCGTTGGGCTTTGAGAGGTTTGAGCAAGAATAGAAATTATTCAGAAAATTCTACAGAAATATTCTGTATTGAAAAGTAAATTGCGATGCGATAGAAAAACGATGGCCCTAAATTATTTAATATATCCTAAATATATTTTTAATTATTTGATTATGAGTTTATAATAGTCCTACTGATTTTTCGCTGGACATAAAGTCACATTGAAATTCCCTATTCATTCAGTCCATTCAGTTCGTTCAGTTAAAAAAAATGATTCATTTATAAAATAAAGATACTTAATCCTGTATCAAACAGAAATGTATCAAAATTGTCCACCAAATGATAGAAAAATCCTCAAAAAAGTGTCACAATCATGGAATAAAATGGTCTGTATCGTCCATAGTCAAGTATCCAAGTTGCGCGCACTTACAAGTTATTTGAATCACCACAAAATTGAACAACTTTGTTTGTATAACAACTCAACGTCAATTTTTTTTTATAAAGTTCTTTTTGGGCAATTTTTTTTCCACCTCCTACTCTTTATCAGGTATTTTTGTTGAACAACAAATTTTTCTTAACAATTTTTTCTCGACAACTAAAATCTTCTACCAAAAAATGTTTTTTTCTGTAGCTGATTTAGTCAAAACTTGTTTTTTCTTCGGCGCGACCAAATTGGGAATAGGTCGCTTAGTTCGACCGAACTATTTGAGAAAACTGTTTTGGTGACGGTGCGCGCACTGCCTTTTATATGAGCATTGATTTGAGTTTTCGACGACAACCACAACCACGACGACGACGACGATGACGACAACAATTCACGGCGATGACGATTTTCACTCACTTCACATAGTCGAAAAAGGAGTTATGTATGCATCGGGTTTAAGTAGATAATGATTTTAGAGGCTCTAGAGAAAGATAATTGTGTTCGTCCCGTGCGAACAATGCCGTACATATTTCGAGTGGAATGTACGCGATTTACGATAAGAATCCAAAAAGTATCGAGATCCGATGATGGAGAACTACAAGAGCGTATGAACCGCACGGCATTGATCTGATTTCGAGATGTGGCGGCTGATAAAACGATTTCAAAGGTAATTTATTGCACTCAATGACAATCGTGCACCACAAAATCAATTAAAATGTTCCATGTTTTCTGTTATCTTAATTGATTTTTTTTTGTTCGTGTTTGTCATTTTTCGCGTTAAAATTAGTGCAAAAGATTTGCTCGTGGCCATATTTTTGAAGGAGACGAAGAAAGAGAAAAGAGAGGAGCAGGTGGAGAGGAAGGAGAAGAAAAAATATGATTCAATTTTTGAAGATGCGGAAGTTCGAGGTTTATCGGTCGTAAATTCAAGTTCAAGTTGGAATTCTCGACCGAATTGAATGAAAAATGCTTTTGACTGGGTAATCACCGACCAATTTATCAGTGTTTGAAGCAAACAACGGATGAAAAATGTAAATACCACAATAAATGGCTGGTTGCGCTTTTTTTTGAGGCCATCAGAATTTTTCCGAACGATTTGCATTTACGAAAGATTTTCGTGGGCAAATACACGTAGACAATCGATATAGAAGGGAAAAAAACGATCACAACAAACAGTAGAAAATTAAAACAAAGCACTGTTTATCGCTCGCGCGCGCACCTTTAATCGTTGCAATTGCATAATAAGCAAATATATAAAATACGTCTCTCACTCCGCACCGTG